GGTCTAGATAGTGCAGGTTACTCAGTTAATTAAGGCCGGCGTATTTAATTTACACAGCTCAAATAGATAGAAAAAGGTAGACTAGTGTTTGTTACATTTTTATAAAAAAGATTTTGGAGTTATTATCCACATAAAATCATCTTTATAGAAGACGAAAAAGTCATTAATTTTTTATGTATACTACGACCGACTTGGGAATGCCCCATCAAATAATTCTCATAGCTGAATTTTAGAGTAAAAGTTTCTCAAAAAAGTGTCTTCCCTCGCTAGAGAAAGAAAAACAAAATTGTTTTACCAAAAGGAAAACAAAATTCTCTACTCGCATGAAAGAAAATCAGTGGTCCACCTGCATTTAGTTTTGTTTCTTCTTTGAATTGGATAATTCAAGATTGCTTTTTTTTTTAAGAAAATAATTGAAGATTGTTTAATATTGGATGTAAAAGAAAGTTGAAGCATGCTCGAGAAAGAAAAAGGGAGTAGATAAAGTTTCGATATTCAAGTGTGAATGCCTTTACCTAAACTCGGAGGCATGTACTTTGGTGATTCATGATTGGTGAACTACCTTACTGTTTCACATATCAGATAATTATGGAAAATACTTATACAAGAGTTTATGTTCCTCTCAAAAAAGAAACAAAAATATGTACCTCTCAAAAAAGAAACAAAAAATTTCTTCTATCTAACAGATTAGTTTCATTTCGGTTATGATAGATTATATACGGTTAATTTTGTGGGTTTATTGATGCTTTAATTTTTGTTTTGTTTAAACTAGAATTTATGGATTTAGGTTCATAATTTCATCTGACCAAAAACATGTTAAATTAGTCTATTGTCCGTTTTCAATATTCGAATTCCAAAAAAAAATCGATTCTTTTTTAAGTGGACAAATAATACGGCGGTTAAGCTATCAAAATCGGATGATTTGGAAATATTATACAATGATTATTCTAAATTAGGTGTTGATTCTAGAGTCATTTGCAAAAATAACTAAAAAAAAAATAAAACATAATATCTAACCAAAACACCTAAATCTAATGGCTATAGTTTTATCACATAAGAATGTTTTGATTAGATATTATGTTATGTTTTTTCCTTGTCTATAATTGTCAATTTCTCTTGATTCTGTTAGTCAATCAGCATATATATGTATATTAAAAATTTTAGAAATTGTGTTTTTTTTTAGAGTATTATCAAGAAAAATTAAGAATTTGTGGTAGTGTTGTAAAACAACACTAAGAAAAGAGAAGAAAATGATGTTTATGAAATTGCCAAATAAAAACCAATTATTTAGTCTTTTGTTTTATATAATGAATGTCATGACCTATCCTAGGCCTACAATTATGTAAATCACTACTAGGCTCCAATTTATAAGAAGCCGACAAGTGTTTGGATGTACAAAGTCAGATCATACTTCTATTGGAATCCACAATTACTATCATTCTAGCAACACACGTGTCACAGCCCAACCAGAGATATCACCCAAAAAAATGTTACGAAACGATCCAGAAAGTGTAACACTTATCCGATTGGTGACCAAATTTGAACCGAACAGTTAAATAAATGATCGTTTGAAACAAAACGGTTAAAAATAATGGTTAAAGAACAAAATTAGATAATAAAAATTAATTTAAATATAATTTTGATTAGTAGAAAAGTAGTAGTTGAATAATATAATTAGATAAAATTATGTAATATAATTTTCTAAAACGATTTAAAAAATATAATGCATTCTGATTCATGTATGTAGTGCATAAGTGTATACACAAAATTTAAGAATACTAAAAAAACACTCCAAACCGTATATTGTTCAAAATAGTACTAAGGGTGGA